CCGCCGCTGCCAGCCGGGGGCTCCCCACTGCCGGGACTGCGACGAGGACACGAGGCCCGGCCGTATTCGGGGCAGAAGCAGATGCCCGGGGAGCGCCGCCAGGTCGGTGGCACTGAGCCGCACAACAAAGCAAGAGGCTTTCGGCTGCCACGAACAGGAAGCTGGAGCTGCCCCGCTGTCCCGGGCACTGGAGGACAGATGCTGGGAAGGGCGGCAAGCTCCTGTGGTTCTCCCATTGTACGAGGGCAGGATTCCAAGAGGGGGCGGGAAAGCTCTCCTCAAGCACCTGAACCTGGCTGTGGGCAAATGATGGTCACAAACTGCTGACAGACTCTAACTAGAAGCAAATTATTCAGGAAGAAGGTTATACTGGCTTCTAACACTTCTGAAAATGCTTCACAATTCAAGAATTCTTTTTCTTCTCTGCTAGCAAAACACTTTCTGCAATGGAGACCTTTAAAAAGTATTTAAACCCAGAGGATGCTGTGTTTCAAACAGCTGTACTCCCTCCTTCACCTGCAGTGGGGTTTGGATCCTTTGGATCCTGCAGCCAGGCTCCCCCTGTCCTGCAAGAGCTCTCCTGGATTGAAAGGACTGGCAGCAGTTTCTCCTACCAAAAGAAGGTGGATAGCTGTTGTTATTAGCTAAGTGCCCGCAGTACCCAAAAGGAGAAATTATTTTTCTGCTCAGCACAGATTAAAAAGAGTAATTTTTGTCTTTTAATTACTGGTGGTACTCCCTTTGTGATGCCCACTAGAAGCAGGAACTGAAAAGTGTATATGGATGGTACCCCTCTATGATCCTTCCTCACAAGCTAATCGTCCAACAGGACTCAAACTTGCCCTTGGCCTTTATGTAGTAACAAGAGGCATCAATAAGCTGATCCAAACAAAAACCAACAAACTCTTCACACATCTCTGCCTTTGGTTTTTCAACCACTCTTGGAGCACTGTTAGCCCAGGAAACTGGAGTTCTGTGGTATAACTCAGGAATTTGCAGTAGCCCTGCTGCCTCTGAGCCAGGCCTGTCACTCAGCTCCATTACTCACTCCATTTCTTTCTCTGGAGCATTCCCTTGTATAGTCCTAAGTCTGTTTATACATCCCCATGCCAACAGCTTTGTTTTGCTGTGGCTTTGCACTTTCCACGTCATCAACTTCCCATGGACAAGCAGGAACTTCTCCCAGGCCTTGGACCAGCACATAAGAGTTAGGCTACGTAGTCTTCACAGTAGCTGGTGTACAACAGCAGACCCGTCACCATATAGAACATTTCCCATACACACATACACATTCCCTTATGCATTTCTTTTCATAAAATCCTTATCTAAGTCATCTCCCTCCCAGAGGGCACATTGAATTAACTGTGCTGAGTCAGCAACTCCTGTGGTCAGCAATGCTTAGTACTGAACATGTGAACCTTCAAGGAGCTTCTCCCTTTCTTTTTTGGCTGGGTTACCAGCTTAAACCAGCTTCATCCTTTGGAGATCCTCATCTCCCCTCCCTTATATCCAAATGTGGAAAAATTCGGTAATTGTAGTACTTTAGAAAAGTTACCTCTTCTATTAAAAGGAACAAAAAGATCTCATATTAACAGCATAATGGTCTACCTACTGGAACTGAAAAATGTCTTCTGTCTGCAACACGCACTTTGTCCAGAAAATAGCATCAGCTCAACCCTCTACTTGAAGTAATTAAATCATAATCACTAATGTTTCAAGTAGCATGCTTAATCTACTCTCAATTCCTGCTTCAGTTCTTTCATCAAAACCACAAAAAGCACCCCTTTTTGAGCATGAAGACGAATTTCTCACACTCAACACAAACTACAGGGTAGGTTACTTAAAGCTAAAAGAACAACAGTTAATATGAAGTGGATGAAAAAGCTGAATAATTATTTATAAATGTTTTATGTTTGTTTGTCTCATGACCAAGTTCTGAAATGCACAGAAGAGACTAACACAAAACATGGAACATTCAGCAGCACAACTGGAATGGAGACACAGAACTTCAAAAAAAAAAAGTAACCATACAAAACTGTACTATGCAACAGCCATTACCATGCTTTTGTATGGCCTGTCAATCAGACAGCTTAAACCTGCCACAACTTGAGACCCACCAGTTCTTCAGATGTCTTCGTGCCCTTGCATGAGGCAACAGGGTAAGATCTCTAATACAAGTATCTTAAGCACCTATCAAATACCCATCACTAAAGGAATGTTCCTGAGAACTCAGGTATATTAATCTGGACATCTTAGACAACAGACAGTTCCAAGCAGCCTTCTATAATTCATTGAAACAGATGATGGGCTAAAAACAGGACCATTTGCAATCTTAATTTATAAACACTGTCAGCCTGAAAACAGGCAAGACAACTCCTAAGTGTCTTCAACTGAGAAAAAGAAGGCAGTGATAATATCAAATGTCAGGAAGAAAACAACAGTGCTGCACAGAAAACGGGGGAAGACAGTCACAGCAACCGCAGGCTGCTGAGCTACACCTCAGACATCTGCAACCAAAGTGCTGCAAAAGTTGGACTACTTTCTCAGTTATTAAGGCATTTAAGCTAGAATAGACATCAGTTCAATAGCAGACTACATCATCATTTTAGACCTTCTGTGGGACTGTAAGACGAAAAACATTTGGCATGAAAATACATTATTTAACTTTAACGAGACTTATTTTTAATATCTCTATACACATAGCCCAACTCTTGAGACTCATCTCACTGTGAGTGGTAAAGAGAAAGACTGCATATTCACAAACGATTCCTCAAACTATTTTAAGGCAGAACAATCCTGTTAAAAAGTTAAAATAATAAAAGATTATACTACATGGACGAGAGTGAAAAGGCAAAAGTCAGTGTAAACACGTATACACCTGCACCATTTATGGGCCTATGCATTGCAGCAGAAGCCTAACAAGAAGAAAGCACCAAGCTGACTCAAAGCTGTCTGCACAGCAGCTCAAAACCGCTGTTAGCTCTATACGGAGTGGCAGCAGCACACTGTCAGGGCTGCAGGCAGGAATGTGGGAGAGTAAATTTTCTTTAAACAGAACAGTAGCGCCATTACTGCTCTCCAGAAGAAAAGGGGTCTGACTGACAAAATAAATGAAGGTGTTATCCAAACGCTGACACCTATGCTAGTGTTTGCCCTCTCCAGGCCCTTAAAAGAACGGGTGCCTGATGATACACAGGCCAGAATACATTACACAAATGAGGTGTGTTGCTTTTGTCAGTGACAGTAACTTTTAATTGTCTTCACAACAAAAGATGAAACAAACTATTAAAAAGTAATTTTGTTCCGTAAAATATTTAGTATATTGAAAATATAAATGCATTTTTTGGTCAAACAAGATTACAAGCATACCAAATGATTTACAAAATCAAATATCTATCCTGATCAAAGAAGTATAAAAGCCAACAGTTCCAGAACCATGCTCCTGGCACCTAATGTTTTGTAAGTAAAGAATTTCATTCTTTTGTACACTAATCCTACTTCTTCCCATATGCGCGTGGGACTGAAAAGGTCAGTTACGTAGTCGGTAAAGGCTTGGGAGGAGGGGGAGGACTAAGAATAATGGCAGCTCCTCTTGCAAGCTCCTTTTCCCACTTATGTTGGAATGTGTACTATGTCAGAAAGCCATTTTAACTTTGCTTTCCCACTATGGCCAAGATTAAACATAAACAGTTTTATATTGTGTTTAAAAAAAGGTATGTTCAGATAACAGCCCAATGTTACAATTTTGTGCTTATAATCACATGCAGGTTTTTTTCTCCCAGGAAGATAAAATATAACTGTATGAGTTTCCTTTTATCATTTGAATTATTCCTTTATAAGCAGTTTCAAGTAAGACATAATGTCAATAGCAGAAGACCAAACCAGAACAGAACACTCTACAGGACTGAGATCTTGGGCCAATTGAGAAATCTTTTTCTCCAAGGTATAGCCCTGCCTGGGCATAGCAATATCACCCTTCTTCAAAAACATTACAGGACATAAGTCATTCCCACCATCACCTATATATACAATTTGTGTGTAACTTACTCCTTGCTCCAACTGTTTAGCTAGAAATTCTTTTAAAATTTCCCTTTTGCAAAGGTTTTTAGGGCACTTTGCACAACAGTGAGCGTGGAAGTCCTGTACAGTCAGATAGCCAGTACTGCTGAATGCTGCAGGGTTTGTAAACACTTCATCAAACACCTTATGGAAGTCAGCAGCTTTCAAAATCCAGTCAATAAATACTGTATTAGAATCTGAAACAATTATGCAGTCAAACAACTCCTTGTTCTTGCCAATAAAACCCAGAAGATCTACCATTCCCGCAGTGAAAGGGATTGTTGTCATAGTTCTTTTCATCTCATCTTCTTTGACGCCATTGTCTCCCAAGTAGACAAAGACTCTGCCCATATATTCTGTCCAGTGTCCTGGTCGGTAGGAGTTTCTTAATCCATTAGGAAGCTTTTTCTCAGGAGCACATTTCAGAATCCAGGTATCACTATTTTCATCTATGATTGTATGGTCAAAATCAAAAACCAACAGAAATTTCATTGCTGTCAGAAAATAGTTTCCAAAATAAACAAACAAAAAGACAATTATTTATAGAAACAAAAGTACTGAATTCCTACCCTGAACTTGTGCTAAGAAGAGAAAAATTGTTTCAAGAAAATGAAACATTAGGACACATATCTAAACAAAGTAAACTATTTATGGTCAAAGTAAAGGTCAAAGTTCTAGTTCAGTATCAAACTTCTGTTTATAATAGATTATGTGAAACTATCTAAACTCATACTGCATTGTAACTCATATTTGCTAACGCAGAGCCAATCTCGCAGTACACGTGCACCATCAGTTTGACCAGCCAATTCTAAGTTTGTCCACCAGCACTTGCTAACACAACCAAACTGGGATTTTCCTAGCAAAACACCTTCACAGGTATTCCAAAAGGAAACTACTACTGAACAGACATAGCCAGCCTTTTTAATAATGACATGTCACATCAAAACAGGTAACAGAAAGACATATTGCCATTTGCGAATCTAGAAAACAAACAAACGAACAACTAAACAAAGTTTGCTTGCTGTTGTCCTCCAACTTCAGTACCTGCAGCCCACCTCTGGGCTACGGAAACCCCCGGGAGCAGGAAACACCTCATGTGGTGCTTGATGCCCCTCGGCCACTGCCCAGTCCTCCCACAGGA